CACATTCGGAGAGCTTAGTACAATCTCTATTCTATTTTTAATGAATAGAAAGATGACACATATATATTCTTGATTAAATGTTTTGACTATTAGACTATTTTTCTACTATAATCAAGAGTCCAATTGAGTTGTGCAAAAAATCTCAATCTTTATTTCAAAATTTCATCAAAGATACTCTCAATTTTTAAAAAAAAATGCTCGATAAAATGGAGAACACTATTAGAGATGTTGTAAAAATAGAATAGAGAGTAAGTTGAAATCTCCACATTTAGAGAGCCAAATTAGACTCTTTATTTTAGCTAGTCTAAATAGAGAGTCTATTGAAGCATGATTTTTGGTAATTGACTCTTAAAATAAAGAGTTTATTTGAGATGCTATAATTGAATACTAATAATTACTAAGAGATTATAAATTATTAAAATTAAATAAAAAATCAAGAAATATTATTAATAAATTTATAATTGAGTCATAATAATGAAAACATCATTTTATAAGTAGGTTTCTTATAAATTAATAATAATGAAAAAAATATTAACAAAGATCTAAATTTAATAATGTGGATGTGGGGGTAAGAGAATAGTAGGTGTGGGAGGAGACTGGGGAACATGGGAGGTCAAGGACGTTATGCACGGAAGCTTAGTTTTTGGCTGGAAATGAATAAAATGTTAGTACTTTGCCTCGGTGGTGCCAAAATCTATGGGTTTGTTGGATTTAGGAGCGTATGAGATAGGTATACCCTTTGCTCTAGAGAGATTAGGAACCTATTGTTGGAAATAATGGTATATTTATTTTTAAAAAAATTATTAAGTAGTGAATGAGAAATTATTAAAGTTTTTATGACTTTTGGTAGCAATTGAAAAGATATGAAGTAAATATAACATGAAAAACTACTAATTCAAAATTGGTAACTTTTGGTTAAAGATACAAATCCAAATAGTTACATCTTTCCATAAAGCAGCCATTAATATTTTTTGGTTAACAAATTCTATTAGAAATAGTCACAATTTTTCATAAATTCACCATTGATACACGTTGAACTAAAAAGTACCCTTTATGAAAAGGCACAAGTGAATTTATAAATATGTGATTCCTTGTACTCTCAAAATATACCATCAAACAATTCAAGAATTCCTTTCTCATTCTAGTTCTCTCAATTATCCAAAATACTGAATGAAGTATTCAGTCTTTCTTTTTCTCTCTCTCTCTCTCTCTGCATATTGCTATATTATTATTTCAAGTTCGGTACAAGTATAAACAGAGAATTATATTTGTTGGAGTCTTGGAGATTGAAATATTGTATATTCAAGAACGAAATGCGTTCTATCTTGGGAGACAGTTATTTATCAACCTTAAGCACCGAGAGGAAGTAAATATGTCTTAAGAAAACTATGATTACACGGTACTCGGATAATTATTTTTTTTATTGGATTTCTAGATTTCTGATTTTTCGGATTTTACTATTCGTATTATTCTGCGTTAATGTAAATGAAGTGATTTGATTTCTATATATTTTGTTTAGATTAGTGCATAAGTTAGACTTTATACAGTTTAATATAATTTAATTATATACATATTTTTCATAACACCTATCTAGTTAGGGGTGTCAATCGTGTCATCCACCATAATAATGATCAGATTTTGATACAATTTTTATTTGGAAATGAATTTGACTACCCAAATATATATTAATATTTTGATCGATTATTTAGTCCGAATACAAACCTATTATACCATTTTTCACAAATTTAGATTTTAATATACTTGACTATGATTTGATCTAAATTATACATGAATAGATTATGAATTTTATGTATTTATCAAATGAAACTCTGTTGAAATCTATGTGTAATTTATTAAAATTCAGCATTAATTAAGCTACTCAAACGGAATTGGATATTCGGATCGAATATTTGATTGTTATCAAATTTAAATATATATGATGAAAATAAAATTTATCAAATAATGAAAAATGATTATTTGCTTCTCCAAGGATATTGTGTACTCTACGTGGAGGTAGAATTGATTTGGTAGATGGGTAATCGTGACCCAATGGGCAGTATACAGTGGCCTTAGGCTGGCATGGAAGCCGTAGACTTTTTGGTTTATTATGCCTAGAGTGCCGAATGTATCGGGTTAATCAGTTATGTATCGGATTAAATAGTTATGTATCGGATAACGGATGAAAAATATATAAACTCATACCCGTTTAATAAACCGGTGAAAAGCCTCAACACGAACACAAACCATTTGATAAACAGATAATACGACACGACTTGTTTAACCCACTTAATTTTAATTTATTATTAGTTTATTTTTTATATTTTTGTGGCAGCAAAAAAAAATGTGGCTATTACTAAAAATAATATATATATTTTTTATGTGGCTGTCACTAAAAAAAATGTCTAAAATTTTAAAATAATTATTAATTTATTATTATATTAATTTTATTTAAACGAGTGATAAATGGGTTGACAAGATTCAGCAAAACACAACTCATTTATTAAACATGTCTAACGGATCAACTTGTTTAACATTCGAACCAGTTAAGGTCTCACTCAAATTCATTTAATTCGTGTCATTTTTTGTCAATTAATTATATATTTGTCGAATTTTGACAAACCTAATTATGATTACGATAAACAGGCAGCCTTTTAGATATGGTAAGAGATTGCGATAAAAAGTACAAATTAATTGGTACGTTTTTATCCGCTTTTTTAAAGGATAGGTTTTTTAGAGGTGGTATTTGGATTTGGACTTATTGTCTTCTTAGATTTTTATGAATTTGGTATAATGTTGGCTAAAATAATTCAAAATATGCACATATTCTCTTTTGTGTATTCATAAAAAGAAATTTTGTTAATAAAAAAAAGCAACTTTGTGCTCTCTCTCTCTCTCTCTCTCTCTCTCTCTCTATATATATATATATATATATATATATATATTCTTAAAAAAAAAAAAGCAAAAACAAGCACACCAGGTTGCTTGTTGGGACTTTGGGAGTAAGGCTAATAATCGAATCGAAGCTACTCAACTCAAGTTTGACTCATTTTCAACTCGATTGGAGCTCGATTTATTTTCTAGCTTAGCTTGAACAATTTTTTATCCTAAACGTTCAGCTTGTTTATATATAAAATATTCAAGATACTCAAAGTTGACTCATTTGGACACGCTCGTTTATAATTTTTTAAACTCATTTAGAAAAACAAGCTCGACAGGGCCAACTTGATTATCAATCCTAATCGGGACCATTCATATGCCCACATGAGCCCTAATACTTAGTGAGCAATGTTACATGAACTTAAAAAGTAAATTTCATAATTACAATTATTGATTTCACTGTAAATTTCAACATTTATTGAAACTTACTATCTATTCAATAAATGTGATTATCAAGTTTATTTTTTAAGTCTAATTTTTAAGTTTATGTAACATTACTCTTTTATTTCCTCAGTAATTTTACAATTTAATGCTATTTATATGAAAATGTGATTTAGGTCCATGTATTTCTATGCAAAAACTTGCATACAAAACATGTTGAAAAAAGGACTAGTTTAAAATATTCCTTCATTTAAAAAATGATAAATTTGAAAATGTGTTCAACACATGATAAAAATAGACAAATCCTTTTTACTAGTCCAAGTTAGATGAAATCAAAAATAAACTCAGGTTTGGAATGTTCAACTATCTTCATGTGTCATTGGACCGCATTGACTATAATACAAATTCTAAATACACACAATACTATATCAATTGTAGGATTAGCCCGTTCCAAAAATTATGAATAAGGGGTTACAAAAGTTCCATCTCATTGATGTCGGAAAACGAATCGATATCTTGATGGGATACAACTTTTTTTCTTTATAGTCGGGAAAGAACGGTGAAGTCCATCCGAACCGTTCATAGGATAAAAAAATATATTTTCTTTGAAGTCCTTATACTCGTTATGCCTAGTATTAAATAGACTACATATTCACCTTATCAATATCTCAAATCAAGGACGGTTCATGTTTTTGGTACCTAAATGGGCACCCAAAGCATTTGAGCTTTTAGCTTTTAGCTTTTAGTAGGCCAGGAGCTTGGAGATTTCTCTGTTCTACAAAAGAGTTAGGGACATGCCTTCAACTATTTTCAACAAAAACATTCAGTCATTGTCCTTAATTTTCATATCAAACAGGGATGTTCTCCAATTTGTGGTTTGATAATTTGTCCACTCCTACCCCATGAAGAACATATCTCCAAACAATAACAATGTTGCGGTGTTTTTCCAACTTCATTTTCTCCAACAATTGTTTTCATGAAAGCGTGGTTTAACCTGACGCTTTTCAATATGAAAATGAGTTTGTAAAAGGCTTTCAAAACATGAAGCTACAGTAAACGTGGGTTTAATGTTTTCAGTAAACATCAGTAGAGTGGTAAATTACTTAGAAACAAGTGCAAAAAAAGATATATAATTGGAAAAGGGCAGTAATATGTTCAAAAACTCAATAAATCCCAGTAGCTTTGATGAAGAAGCCAGTGGGCGTATGGGATCTATGCCTTTTGTTCTTGCACAGACTGATTAACCCCTTTACTCATTCTAGGAAACAGCATATCATTTCACTCCCTCTGGTTTGCAGAATAATCCCTCCAATTATACAGAGGATGACACACACATACACAAGAGGAGTGAGAGAAAGCAAGAGAGAGTATAGATTGACATGTCTGTTCAATGACTTGAATCTCTAGCATATACATATTTTTTTGTGTTTCTCGTTTGCATTCCTCTTTTCTTTCAAGAAGAAAGCAATTATCATGCATGATTTCCTAGCCCTCGAGGAAATTCAGGCTCACAAGTCCTTCAGCACTGTGATTAATAAGAACTAGGTAAGACAATTGCCTATTTTGTTACCTGGCTAAAGTTGAAAATGGATCGGGGAGAGCGAGAGACTCTTCACGTCCCCATATCAAACATTTTCTGGGAAGCTAATCAGCTTCGTTCCTAATTCATTTCAGTGTTTGCTTCACTGGATATAATCTTCATAGTAATCATCATTTATCAGAGAGACAAACCTTTCAAGCCAGGGAAGTTGATGGAGATCCTTCATTGCATCCACATAAGAGTCTGTACATCGGGGCGGGGATTGGCAAGGATAGTGGTCACTCAGACCGAAACCCCCAGCAAGAAACCTCTGGATCAATGCCAGTTGTGATCTCTCTTGGTCTGAGTAGGCATCCATCATCATGGGGAGCAAGTCAAAGGAGTCCCAAGCCCATTGTTCGTATTGTTGGGTAGGTTGACTGACCAAATCTTGGGAATATTCTTCATCCCAGAATGTACATTGACAAGTTTGTTCGCCATCCCTGTACTCTGCACCACAGGAATAACAAAATTTGTGCCCACACCTGCGGATGAGAAGCACATAAGAAAGTCACAATTAAGAACTTTAAACAGATGTCAGTGTAACACAAGAAATGTGGAAAAGAGGCATCAGGGTTTCATAATCCTAAGTCTTCAGACATTTTTCGAAATATTGAATATTCACGAGTTATATTCTACATCCAAATTTTGGAAATAACTTATAAGAGAACTCGTATGCAAGCTCAAACAAAGTATGCATGCAAGCACAGAGACAGTATGCAGAATGCACATATTAAGAATATCAAAACTTACAAGAACACTAAAAAGAGATTTGATCAATCTTTCATTCAGAGGCCAAAACTTACACATTATCAGTGCTATCAAGATTTCATATATACAGGAATTCATACAAGCACCCAATCATGGGTGCACATAGTACACACACATTGTAAGTATCAGACTGTATCAACATATAGGAACACTTCCGTAATTTGATAAATATTCCTTCAAAATGTAATTTCATCAGATGGCTCACTCAGTCAAGCTCTTGGCAAAAAAAAAGATTTGAAGGCGCTCCTTAGCTAGTTCTGTATGTTTGGAATAATTTAATCCTTTCTTTATTGCATAAATTTGCATATTATTCCTTCCCCCAATGCAAATCAAGCGATAGAAGAGCTTTGCATCACTGTGCAGATCATTTACACCAGAACACTTTCATATACTGTTTTCTAACACAAGATTTCCTCAAACCCATCTGCACTGGTAGAGGACAAATTGCCTCATGACTCTTTTTGGTTGCCTTTTTTCTTTCAGACTGTAACTTTTCTTGGTTGAGGCCAGGGGGTGTTTTCTTTAGGCCAAAAAATTCTTAACACAATGACAATCAAAACATACAAAATACACAACTAACTATTCTTTTGCAACTATGAATGGAGAATTAAGCCTTTTCGTACAGGTTATCAAACTAAATATGACATTTAAAATATAGCCAAGGAAGATGATCAAGAGATTTTGAGCACTCCGTTGAACTTTTTTCTACTTTGATGAGATGTATTAACAGGTAACGGATGGCAGTATATCTCCTTTTAATGGAGTAGATCAGCAGCAAAGTTCCTAATATTACAGAGACCTACAACTTAATAACACATTGCCCAAGACAGAATTAACAGCCACTGTCCCTATATTATTTTCTATACATAAACCACACATATAATATAGAACCTTCTAAATCAATTTTCATAGTTGAATATTGCGAGGATTCAGATATATCTGATTGAACCAGTGTGGTATCTGCTAACAGGAGAGGAGCTACAATTTCCCAAGGGGTGTGTGCCAACTACGAGTTGGGGTTAGTAAAGGATAGTTAGGGCCATACTGAAAATATGCAAAACAAGAGTGGTGGTGAGCGTAGTAATTTTTGAATAATAACATAACATAAAAATGTTTAAAGACACCTTATAAAAAACTTTAGGGGGCCATAAGCCCTTGGTAATAAAAGTCGCTCTGGCAGCGTCTGCTTACTAATCGTGTTTCAAACTACATTA